AACATGCGATGTGTACGTAAAAAAAAAAAAAAAAAGAAATAACAAATTTCTTAAAAAAAAAAAAGCCATGGTTAGAAAAAAAAAAAAAAGAAAAATTCTTGTTTTCTTAATTTTAGAATGTTAAGAAATAAAGATCACTCATGCAAATGAAATTAAATAATTTTTTTTCTTTTAAATATTTGAATGAGTGAAGAAAAAAGAGATATTAAAAAGTTAGGAATGAGTAATAATTCTCATTCTTTAAAAAATATAAATAAAATACAAGGAAAAAATAAAATGATTAAAGATATATGCTCTAGTAAATTATTAAATGATATATATGAAGAAAAAAAAAATAGTTGTAAAGATTTATTACAAACAAATTCTGAGCTATCTAAAAATTTGAACTTAAAATGTTTAAGTCATAAATATGACAAAATAGATTTATTATATTATGATAATAAACACATAAATAATTACTTAAATGAAGATATAAATTCACACGGAAAATACGAAAATCTAAAAAAACAATTAAATAAAATTATATGTTCAAAAAACAAAAAAAAAATAATAGGAAAAAACAGAAATATGTTTAACTTATATAAAGATAAATATAAAGTAGAAAATGATAAAAATGATACGCAAATGCCTCTAGCATACGAAAATGAAATGACAATATTAAATAACTATAAAAATAATTCTAAAAGTGATAAATTTCCTTCAAATTTTCAAATGTCTTCCTTTTTTAATGAAAAAGACATTAAAAAGAACAATATATATGAAGAGAAAAAGAATGGAGACAGAGAATATTTTCACGATTCTAAATGTTTTTCCAATAACAATTATATGAAAGAAATGAGCTACGGAGATATTTCAGAAAATAGTTCATTGTCTACATTGAGTAACAAAAGAATAAAGAATTCATTAAAAAAGAGTAGTTTAAATAACTATAATAATTTTAATAATGAAATAGAGATTGAATATAATAAGAATAATAAAAAAAATGTAAAATTCAGTGAATGCATGGGTTACATGGATAAAAATGTTAATTCTAAACCACTTTATTCTATTATTTATAATAATGATAGAAACAATTTTTATAACAGCATGAATTACAGAAAAAATGAAGATGTAAACTTCAATGATGGAAGTATAATAAGTGAAAATTATACATGCAAATCTAACTTAGATGAATTAACGTCACACAGAAATATTGATTTCAATAATTATTATCATCATTCAAATAAAAGTCCTATTATAAATTATATAGGTAATAATGAGAATAAGCAATCACATTATAGTAATTCATTTAAGAATAATATAAATAATATTAAATTAGCAGATATTAAAAAATTTTTAAAAAATAAAGAAGAATTATATAATGAAACAATTTCTTCCAACAATGATACATATAACAATAATACAAATGTTTTAGATAACTGTAATATAAAATATGAAAATTTAATCAATTTTTATAATTCTTCAGCTGTTGCTAGATTTAAAGATTCAATTAAAAATAATTTTAGAAATAGTTCTACTAGTTCTCAAGAAGATAGTCTCAATCATAAGAATAGTATAAATATTAATTCAAATTCGTTTGAAGAATGCAAATATAATTCCCATTTGGTAAATAAAGATAATAATAATTCACCTAATTCAAAAGAAATTTATGAGTTTAATAAATATGACAACAATAACATTTCAAATGATAATTTAAGTAATATAAATTTACATAAAGATAAAAATATATTTAAAAAAGAAAAATTGGCTAATAAATTCTATGCATTAAATTTTCTAAACATAAGTGAAAATGGTGATTTAGATAAAAAAAAAAAAAAAAAGAAAAGGATTTGTACGAATAACGATTATATCAAAAAATTTTATAAAAAAAAAAAGCAAAAAGCAGAAGGGAGATGCGAAGAAAAGAGTGAAGAGCAAATAATTAAAGAAAAAAATTTTAGGGACGAAAAAAATTTTATATTAAGGATGAATCAATCACATGTTGATAATGAAGAAAAAAATTCATTTAATCAAAAAAATTTTCAAAATATTGAAAAGAAAAAGAACGTAAGAGTAAAATGTCTTATTGAATTTGATGAAATTACTAATTCGTGGAAATTGTTTTGGAAATATGGAAAAATTGTTGTTAAAAAATCATATAGTAAGGAAGTATATGGTGATAATTCGAGATATAAAGCACTAAATGATCTTGAAAATTTTCAGAATATTTATGATAATATATTAAAAAATAACCCAGATATTAGTGAGGAACATAAATATTTATTAATTCAAAACAAAATTTATGAACATTTTGGAGAAAAATATTATTTTCCTAAAATTACAGAAAAAGAAAAAAAGAAAAAAAAAAAAGACATTTTTGATGGAAATAATGAACAATTAGATAATATAAAAGAAGAAAATATAAGGGAAGGAAAGGAAGGAGAAAAAGAAGATAAAAAAGAGGATAAAGTGATAAAAGAAAAGGGACAATGGGAAAAAGAGAAGATAGACAAGGAAGAGAAGGAAAAGGAAAGAGAGGAAAAAGAGAAATATAAGGAAAAGGTAGATAAAGAAAAAAAAGAAGAAAAAGAAAATGGAAATGAAGAGGATAAAGAGAAAAATGAGACAGGAATGGAAGAAGAAAAAAAAAAAGAAGATAATTATGATAGTGGTAATAATGAGCAAACAGAAGAAATAAAAAATAGAAAAAGAAAATATATTAAAACTAATAATTCTACATTATTAGATCATATTAAAATTGCAGAAAAGGATAAAGACAAAATGTATATAGAAAAAGAAAAAATCCAGAATATAAATGATAAAATATATGAAAGAAAGGATGAAAAAATTGAAGAAAAATATGAATTTAACACACTTGTAAATTTAGCTAATTATGAAAAAGAGTTAAAAATATTAAAGAAAGAAGAAAAAAGAAGAATTAATGAAAGAAAAAGAGAAAAAAAAATGAAAGAAATATATGAAAGAAGGCAAAAAAAGCTAAAAAGGGAAGAAGAAAAAAGAAATAAAATATTGTTAAAAGAACAAAAAAAAAAGTTAAGAGAAGAAAAAAAAAAAATGAAGGAAGAAGAAAGGTTAAGAAAAATAGAAGAAAAAATAAAATTAAAGAAATTAAAACAGTTGAAACCAATTATAGAAAAAATAAATAAATATCGAAGTTCATTAAAAAGTAAATTTAATAAAGAAGCACTCCATTTCATAAAAAATAAAGAAATATTCAAAAAGGATAATAAAGATTATCTTGATTACTTAAATTCTTTTGATAAACCATCAGAAAATATCTTTAGTCTTATCAAAGCATCTATAGAAGAAAAGCCATTAACTAAGAGAGAAAGAGTTATAGAATTGATAAAAAAAAACAAAAATGTACATATTAATACCAACTTATACCTTGATATAAATTCTGAAGATGATGTAGAAAATTCTAATAATAAAGGAAATTGGATAGTTTCTTGGGTATTCTATGGAAGAACTTATAGAAAGAAATTTTCCATTAATGAATATGGTTTCAAAAAGGCAAAAGAATTAGCAGAAAATTATAAAAATGAAAGAATAAACTGTATACTAAATAATTTTTCTAAATATAATCATTTTAAAGAAATAATTCAAATTAAAAATAATCAAATAAATAATGAAAAGGATAATGCTGATTCACAAGAATTAATGAGAAATATCGAACAAAAAAAAAATAATGAATTTTCCGTCAAATATGAATCTAATATTCAAAAAGAAAATGATGAAAAAAGGAATATACGCTGTACTTTTCCATATTCAAAATTAAGTAGTGAATCAAAAGATCATCAGAAAATCTATAATTCTATTAATATGATTAATTTTTATAATCATATATTAAAAAATCCATTATTTGATCAATATTTCAAAAACAAAATTATGTGGGTAAATAAATTGAGCTGTTGGAAAATAGAAATTATGAAAAAACAAAATAATAGGTACATAAGAGAAAAAAAATATTATTCAGAACAAAAATATGGATATATTATCGCTAAATATATAGCTATTTGTGATTATTTAATTGCAGAAAACAATATTTTAAATAATTATTTTGATACAAAAGTACCGAATTTACAATATGATAATAAAAAAAATGCATGGAAAATATCAAGATATGTTCCTCATCAATTAAATAAAAAAAATTATTATTTCAATATCAGCATTTATGGATGGCTTAATTCAAGAAAACTAGCACTACTATTGGCTATAGATTTAAATGAAAATAAGACATTTATGTATGAAGATTTTTATAATAGGAGTTCATCAGAACACAAAAACTTAATATATCAAAATATCTTTTTAAATAAGAATTATAATAAAAATAATTCTAATGAATATTTAAACGTAGAAAATAATATAAATAACAAACTTCATAATAAAAATAAATGTAGTATGAGTTCTTTTGGTATTAAGTCTTATAGCACTTCAAATAATAGTAATAACTGTTTAGATATAAGTTATGATAATAATACTAAAGATTATAATAAAGAACAAAAAAAAGATAGCGCTTTTGAAAATAAGTTATATATCTGCAAAAACGGTAGTATAAATAGTAATAAAAACGATGATAATAAAAACAACATTCACGATAATATTAATATCTTTAAGAAAAATATTTATGAAAAAATAGACGAAGAAAAAGGTAAAAGAATAATTCAGAACGACTATAAATACAGTGATGACAGTCAAAATAATGGGAAGCAAATTAATAAAAATAAAAATTATATAAAAATGGATGGATATAATCATTGTGATAACAAATGTATGAAGAATAATGATAAGATTTCCTGTAATAACGATAATTGTAAATGCAATAATAGCACTCTTAGTATGTCAAATAATACAGTTAATAATATAGTAGACCGATACAAAAATCTAATTATTAAAGATACAAATATAATTAATAAAGATAATAATCATAACAACATAGATAATTATTATGATGAAGTAACTTATATCAATAATAATACAAACCAAGAAAAATGTGATGATACATTAAATGATTTTTATTGTGAACTGAGAAATGATGAAAATGATAAAATTAAAAAAGAAGAAAAAAAACATTGTTCTAAAGTAGTAGATGATTCTTGTGAGTCATTTATTAATTTAAAAATTAAGGAATTCCAAAAAAAAAACATTAAAAAGAATAACAGTGAACATAATGCAGAAAAACATCATAAAGATAAAAGTTTATACACATATAATGAAAATACATTGAATGACAATGCAATTAATAAAGATAACAATTCTCCAAATGAATTCAAAAATTCTTATATGCATAATTCATATATAAACTTTAAAAAATTATATGAAGATGTATATAATGAGAAATATTTTCAATTAAAACAAATGTATTCATGTAATGATAATGATTTAATAAATTTTTTGTCTAATGAAGAAGATAAAGAACTTTTTTTAAAAGAAAATATAAATATAGATATAGATGATGAACATTTTTTAATTAAGATTTTGGAAGATTATTATTATTCAAATTTTTCAAGAAAAGCCAATAAAATCAAAAAAAGGTTTATAAAATGATAAAAATATAAAAATTTCAAATATATTTTATATATATAATATTTTTCGAAAAGTAAAATTGAAAAGGATATATTTATATATACTAATGGATAGATAGATAGATAGATAAATCGATAGATAGAGAATGAGAAAGAGATAGAGAGAGAGATATATAAAGATATAGAATAGGAGATATAAAGATAGAGATAGAGAGAGATATATAAAGACATATAATTGGAGATATAAAAATATAGAAAGAGAGATAGAAAAGGAGATATAAAGATAGAGAGCAAGAGATAAAAGAGATATAAAGATAGAGAGAAAGAGATAAAAGAGATAGAAAGATAGAGAAAAGAGATAAAAAGAGATAGAAAGATAGAGAAAAAGAGATAAAAACAGATAGAAAGATAGAGAAAAGGAGATAAAAAGAGATAGAAAGATAGAGAAAAAGAGATAAAAAGAGATAGAAAAAGAGATAGAGAGAAAGAGATAGAGAGAAAGAGATAGAGAGAAAGAGATAGAGAGAAAGAGATAGAAAAAGAGATAGAGAGAGAAAGAAAAAAAAAAAAGATATAGAGATAGACATAAAGATAGACATAGAGATAGACATAGAGATAGACATAGAGATAGACATAGAGATAGACATAGAGATAGACATAGAGAGAGAGAGAGAGAGAAAAAAAAAAAAAGATTATTTTATATTTTTTACCAAAATGTAAAATAAATACGAGACATAAATATTTTAATAGGAATCTTATTTTATCGTAATATGCCATTCATTATATTTTGTTCTATATTTTATTTTTTTTATGTTATTCTAATTTTAATACATAACTTATAATAACACAATTTAAATATGTTTATGATTTTATCTTTTTTCTTCTATGCATAAGTTTATATACATGAAGAATATCTTCATTATATATTATTTTTCTTTTAATGCTATTGTAATAAATATTTTCATAAACTTTATTTAATTTCCCTTATTATTTCTGAAGAGTTGTAAAAAATAGAATATTCAAATCTAACGCTTTTTTTTTAAAGGATTTTTTTACGATATAATAAAAATTTACGGATTCATTATAAAAGATTTTTTTTTTTTTTTTTTTTTTTTATTATTATATAGTCTTAGGAAAAATTAGAAATATTTATATAAGCATATATATATATATATGTGTATTTAATTAATTTTATTTATAGAATTTTCATTTCATTATTTTATTCTTTGTTGTTTTTATTATAAATTTTGTTTAATATAAGAATTACATTAGTTTATCATCATTTATTAATAATTTGATAATATTTATTTTTATTGAGTAATATATAAATTAGTTTATTTATTTTTTTTTTTTTTTTATCCTTACATGTTAATTTTTTTTTATATGTGCATATGGTTTATATAATATACGTAAGTCTATTGCACACACATTTATGCACATACATATTTTTATATGTATTTTTTTTTTTTTTTTTTAAAAAAGCTTTTTATTAATTTACTTTCATTTTTTTATTTTTTGTCAAAATAGATTTTTTATTTTATTATTATACTTTTTTTATTATTACATTATTTTTGTTTTTTTTTTTTTTTTTTTTTCACAAACAAATGTATTTCCATAAAGTGTTGTTTTATTTTTTGGGAATAATAAAAAAAATTGATTTAAAAAAAATTATTAATAGAATTTTAATAATTTGAATATATTTTTAACTATTACTATATTTTTTATTATATATATATATTTTTTTTTTATAATAAAAAAAAACACCAAAAAATTATAATAAATACTAAATTATAAAAACAAAAAGACTATACAAATATGAAGCTTTCTTAAAAATATTTTATAATAACAAATTTTCTTGTAAAAATAGACAATAAAATTTTTTTTTTTAATATTATAAAATTATTATTCTTTTTTGTTATACTATTTATCATTTTTTTTTTTTAAGTTTTTATTGTGTGTACAATTTTTTTTTTTTTTTTTTTTTTAATTATAATCTTTTTATAATCTTCAGTTTCCTATATATAATAAATAATATAATCTCTATATTTAAAGTAATTTAAGTTTTAATATTTTGAAATATCTTAGAAAAAATATTTGTTAATTTTATTTACTTTTTAAATTTACGAAAATTTTAATTTGCATTTTTTTTTTTGAAATATACTTTTTGTTAATTTTTTTATGTTCAATAAAAAATGAAATTTTAAGTGATAATTGATAGTTCATAATTATCTTGTTCACATTTTTTTCTTTTTTAAGTTTTTTTAATTAATGAAATTATTAATTAGAGAAATTTTAGATAAATACTAATTGTTTTATAATTATTTTAGTTGTATACTTTTAATTTGAAGGAAAAAAATTTAAGATATTTGTAAAAATATACCTTTTGAAAAACATTTTAAGATAACATCTTTTTTTTTTATGGAAACACAATGTTTTAGTTTGTGTTGTAATCTTTGATTCTTGATTATATTGTGATATTCAATTTTTTTTTTTTTTTATTTTATTTTATTTTAATTTTTTTTTTTTTTTTTTTTTGTGTTATCTCAAAAAATTATTTATATGATAATCAGAATAATTCATTTTTATATTTTTCTTTTTTTATACTAATAAAATATATGTAACATTGGGATAATTTTAAATTTATTATAACACACACTTCAATGGAAAACCATAGGGACCTCTCAAAATATAAAAAATCCATAAAATATAAGGTTTTTATTTGTAAAAAAAAAAAAAAAAAGAAAAGAAAAAGAAAAGAAAAGAAATAGGAATACGAAGAATATATTTAGAAAAAGAGATACTTTGAATAATTTTAATTTTTTAAATAAATTTTTTCTTTTCTTTTTGAATTTATAGATTGATAATAATTATAATAAATATGTTGGAATATCTAAAGATGTATATAATAGCGATGAAGATGCGTTAAAACCAATAAAACATTATTTTTTTGATTCAGATGAAGATTTTCAATCAGTTCTTTTAGAAAAAAGTAAAAAAAAGAAAAATGAACAAAACTGTAACCATACGAATTTGTTAGATATAAAAACAAATAGAAAATATAAAAATGTGTTTGACAGATTAACAGATACCAATTTTTACACAGGAATACATAAAGAAAGATTTGATGAATTAGGAAATGGTAGAGGTAAAGCTGGAACTACAGATATTTATATACATGATGGATGGACACAAGCAAAAACAAGAAATCACGAAATATATTCATCAGATATTAAAAAATCAAAAAAAAACCCTGTAGTTACACCCGGTACATTAGGAATACAAAAATATGGGATTCAAATAGCATCTCCAAAAAATATTTGGATTTTTAGAAATGGGGATAAACATCATAATGGAATTCTTTTTCTAGTAAAGCCTCATATAAATAATTTAAAAACCTTGTTTTTTGAAATTACAAAAGTTTTATCACCTACTATTGGCCCTATAAGAAAAATATATGATCAAAATTTTAGATTAGTAAGAAGTGTAGAACATTTAGTTGAGGGTGCAAAATACTTATGCACATCTGGGGATCCCCCTGCACCAATAGATAGGCTTCAACTTTTTTTAAGCAAATGGGTTATACAGAACTAATAAAAAAAAAATATATATGTGTATCTTTCTTATTTCCATCTAAATATATATGTTAATTCCTTTAAAAAAAATATTAGCATTTGTTTATATTAATTTTTATGAGTATTTAATTTTTTTTTTTTTTTAACTTTATATATAAATATCCGATAATAACACAGGGAAAATTGTAATTATTATTAATATTATTAGAAAAAAGAGAATAATTATTGATGGAATATTATTTGTAGATATAATCTTTTAAATTCCATGAAAATCATAATAAAAAATAATAAATATACATATTTTTTTGTTTTTGTACATTTTAACATAAAAACTGAAACGAAAATGATGAATGAAAAATAAAAAAAACATATAAATACTTAGCATTATAAGCATAATTTATTGTTTCAATAATATTTAAATAAAATTAATTTAAAATTGAAAAGATAGCATTAATAATTCATATATATAAGAGGAATATATAATATTTATATTTTATAATTTTATAAAAAGAAACTTTATTTTAAATATAAAATTTGTTTTTCTTATAGAAAATCCATATTTTACAAATAGCATTTTCATTTTTTCTACATTTTCCTTTTTATAGGAACTATTTATTTGCATATTTCATAAAAAATATAAATTTTCATCATATTTTAATATTTACTAAAATGCATAATTTAAAAATTATGTGTAAAAATCAAAGAATTTTTAAAAATTTAAAATAAAATACTTTTTTATTAAAATTTTTTTAAAAGAGTTAAATGCTTGTAATAAATAAAAATACAAAAGTTGTAAATCTTTTTAAAAAAAAATAATTATTTAAAAATAATGGTAAAGTGTAATAATGCTACATAAAACTTAATATATCTGTGTGTTATTCATGTAATATAATTATGCAAAAATTTCCTGTTTAACTGATAATACATGTTCAATAACAATTGTTTTTTCTTCCCATTCGAATTGATTTTCAAATTTCTCCCAATTCTTTCTAAATTCTTCATATTCCTTATAAGATTGAAACAATTTGGTTATTTTTTCTAATTTTTCATTGAAAATATTTTCAACATTTTTTCTTTCTGTGATTAATGCATTTTTTTTTGCATTTCTCATTTTTTCATCAATACTATCAAACTTCTTAGAATATTCTTTTAAATTATTTTTAATTTCCAATTTTAATTTATCACTAAATAATGATTTAGGATGTGGTCTAAATAAAAATTGGCAAAATGAAGGTTTTTTAATTCTCATTAGGCATTTTCCTTGAAAAGTCCATATATAAAATCCAGCTTCACTATTTTCTTCTCTGTAGTTTGAACTGGATGCATTAGCAACAGTTGATACACATGTAACCAAAAACCTTCCACAGTTACTCCATGCAACAGAATTAACTAATAAATGTTCATCTTTGTGTATAACTTCCACTTCATCATTAGAATTTAAGTAGCAAAAATATAATGATCCTTCTGATCCCAATGATGCCAATATAAAATAAGTTCCTTGGGGAGACCAACGCATAAAATTCATTTGATTATTTATATCAAATGTAGTAGTCCATTTAGCATCTCTAGTTGCACCCTTATTTGAGATTTTATAAAATCTAATTTGTTGCTTATTGGTTGCTTCTTCTCTTACAATTAAAGCGAATCTATTACTATTTGATTCCTCCCAATGGAACTGTTTTGCCTTAACTCCTTCAATTTGAACGTTATCAACAGGAATATTTTTTTCTCTCATACGGAATATTTCTAATTGAGTATATTCTTTTTTGCTTTTTTTTCCAATTTTTTTTGATATTGTTGTTTTTAGACATAAATAGTCTCCTTTGCTTTGCCAATGAATAGAAGCTGCTTCAACATCATATAACTTTCTTGATACCAATTCTTTTCTTGAAGGAATTTCAACAAGTATTAAAGTTCCTGGGGTGTTATTTGTGCCAGGTATCCAAATAGAAACAATATTATCAACGGGTGACCAACCAAATTCATCGACTGATGAATATTTTAAAGGAGTTCTTTTTTTTTCTTGATTTTCTATTAATAACATAGAAGGTAATTCATATACATATAACTCCTTTTGTTTGCCTAGGCATGCAATATATTTATCATCTGGACTCCATAAAAAGTGAGGAAACATTTTTTCCTTTGGCCTATTTTCTGGGGTAATAAAAGAGCGAAGTAATTTTCCTGTAATTACTCTCCATATACAAATAGCTTTTTCATTTCTTAAAGAAGCAGGAGTTCCATCCCATGTTAATACATAATTTTCTTGTGGTGAAAAGCTTATTTCTTTTACACTTTTATGTTGTAATCTAATTAATTTTTCAAAATTATCTCCTCCCCATAATGCTATACCAGGATTATGAAAACTAACTAAATAGGAACCTTGGTTACTCCATTGTACACTTGAGAAAGGAGCACTTTTCTTGAAAGTTGTATAAATCAATTCAGGTTCCTTTTCTAATGGATCAAGCCAATGAACCTCAAAGTGGCTGTCATATCTAACAATAAATTGCTCTCTACATTTCTCATCATATAACCACCATCTTATTTTTTCTCTCGTAAATCCAACTACGTTAATTGGCATAACATGCTCATCCCTATTTAAAATATTTTCAATATCATCCATCTTGGAAGCTGTTAATACATGCTTTGCATCTAATTTTAATTTATTTAATATTTTCACAGCTTCATTGGCTTGAAAACTATCGTTAAATGTTACAAAACATATTCCTTTAGTTTTATTTTCTTCATCTGTAGGCATATGTATTTTTATATTCAAAACGGATGAATCACTAATTTTTGTATTTAAATGTTTTATAAATAATTTTTTTAACACTTCTGCTAATTTTCCATGTTTTTCAGCTTCTACTTTTGGAATCCCTAAAATTGTTATGATTTTAGGAAAATTTGTTTCTAAAGTTATTAAAGCTTCTTTTTCTGCATATTTTTTATTTAGTAAAGCTTCATTTCCATCATCACTATCATCTGATAAAAAATCAGCTAATTCTTTATCGCTTAGATCAGATTCCGTTACTTTAACCATTATTTATTTATGTACATATATTTATAAATTCCTTATTTATTATTTTATTTTATTTGTTTTTTTTTTTTTTTTTTATCGAAATATCTTCAAATAAATTATGCTATGTTTTAATATATAGTATTCAATATAAGTATTAAAATTTTTTTTTTAATTTACTAAAATTGATTTTTCAATCTTTTAAAAAAATTTATTTTAATAAAAAAAAATAAAAGAAAAAATAATATAAATTATATTCTACATTTATTTATTGTTCAATTATTATGTATTTTCATATTAATTTTAATGTTTATGTAATTTTTGTTTCGTTTTACTTTAAATACATTTTTATTTTTATTTTATATATATATATATTTTTTATTTTTTTTTATTTTTATTTTTTTTTTTTTTTCATTGTTTTACACTTTTTTTTTTAATTAACATTTCATTTTTATGTTATTTTATTTTCTTAGGATTTTTTTTAGTATTTTATATTTTTCAGAATCTTATTTTATTTAATACTTGCATATTCATTGTTTTTTTATTATGTGCCAGTTCATTTTTTTGAAAAATTAAGTTTTTTTTTTTTTTTTTTTTTTTTTTTTTCACTTGTAACAGTACATATATTTTTTTCTTTATATGGTCATATAAATAAATAAAATTATATCAAATAGGAATTAGAACTAATTTAAATAAAATTTTGTTTTTTTCATAAATATTTTAATTTTCATATATTATAAAAAGGTTAATTTAATATATATTAAAATTAAAATATATAATAGTAAGCCTATACATTATTTACAAAAAAAACATTAACTTTATGAATTATTTTAATAATATTGAAGATACTAAATTATTATTTGTATACTAATGTTAAAAATATATTAAAGAAAAGCTATAAAAGTTAACATTTATATGCTTTCAATCATATTATTCCTGTTTTAATTTTTTTTTTTTTTTTCTGTTTTTTTTTTTAGTAAAATATAAATCTATATCTATCTGTATGTAATAAAAAATTATAAGAAAATATTATAATAATTGAAAACGCTACAAAATTATATAGGAGCAAGATGTGTTCTGTTGCTTCTATATATTGAAGAGCAATTTTTTTCGTAATTTATAATTTTACATTAAATTAATAGAAATATAAAATATATAAATTATAAAATGAATTTTTTTCTAGAATTTATTAATATTTTCTTTTCATCTGATTTGTTATAAAAATAGTAATGTTCTTAAATTGTATTGCTTAAATAAAAAAGAGAACTTGTAAAATTAAATATAAATATGATATTATTTTTAATAAAGCAAATTATTTAAACGACTTTCATATTTTATTTCACATAATTTATCTCTCGTCTTTTTTTTTTTTTTTTTTTAAATTTAACACATGATGTTCTTGTAACTATTTTTACACTTTTAATTTTATAAATGAATGAATATATGGTTTAAAAAATAACTAACCATAATACTACCTAGTTTTTTTTTTTTTTTTTTTTTTTTTTTTTTGTTACAACTTTATTTTTTTCATTTTTTTTATGTATGTTTCAACAGAAAACAAGTTTTAAACTTATTTAAACAAGTAGTATCTAACATTGGATTTAATAACTCTTTAAAGATAAACTTTTTTTTTTTTTTTTTTTTTTACCGTAAATGTATATGATGTATATTTTTAATTAAAATCTTCTTTTTTTAAGGCTATTATTGATAATTTCCTATTTCCTTTTTTATTATTTAAATGAATATTTTGACAATTTTATCAATTTTTTGGTATATAAAATATTCGAGTACATTTTTCATATCATTATATAAATATTTCAATTAATTATAAAATATTTCACAAGCTTACTTAATACTTTTATTTTATGTGTACGAAAATATTTTTTTTTTTTTATCTTTTTTTTAAATTAATTTTACATAGTAAATTTTTTTCCATTTATAATAAGTTAATCCCTTTGAATAAAATAAATAAATATATATATCAAGTAATTTTTTTACATAAATTATATATTTATATTAAAAAAAAATATACTTAGATATGAATGTAATTTAAGAAGTAATTATATGAAATATAATAGTTTAGAAATGTAAATATGAACAATTAAGAACGTTAAATAAATTGATCAAATAAGAATTATATATAAAATAAAAAAAAAAAAAAAAAATAGATATCATCGCATTATAAATATTTTATAAAAAAAGAATTCTTTATATTTAAATAGACATTTGTATATTTTATATGATTTGAAAATAGTCTTTTATATTTATGAGTTGTTTAAATTAATACTTAATAATTAAAAATTTAATCCTAAAAAGAAAAGTAAAAAAATATGGAAAAAACAAAAGTTGAAGCAGCTCTAAGTATATGCAATATCTTACCTTCTCATTTATTTGAAGAAACAATCAAAATATTATCAGAAATTGATCAGAATTTAACTAATAATATTTTAATTAATAAAGAAGGTCCTATAAAAACTAAATTTGATAGTGAAGAAAAAAAATATTATTTGGCAAATATGTTTAATAAAGAAAAAGATTCTTACAGATCTCCTTATGCGAACATTTATTATCCTGATAACTTTTCAAATTCATATATACCATCTGAGCCTTTAAGAAATTTAGAAATATTATTTAATGAAATATTTGACAAATATAGAAAGGCATACTATATAAGTGGATTGTCGTCTGTTTATTTATGGCCAAATCCTACTGAAGAAGGATTTGTTGGCTGCTTTTTAATTAAAAAAAGCGAATCATTTAATGTAAACACAAGTATAATTTGGGAAGCTACACACTTAATACAAGTAAATATATCGCATTTAATTATACACTACCAAATTTCATCAACTGTTAATTTTTATATCACTAAAAAAAATGAAATTATTTTGTCTGCTTCTATTAATAAAGCTTTAGAAAATCCCAAGAAGATTTTAGATATGAATTTATTAAAAGACAAATTTTTTCATATGGAAAATATGGGTAAAATGATTGAAAGTATTGAAAACTCTTTAAGAAAAAGTATTGAATATATATATATGCCCAAGATCACTGATATTTTAAATTCTCTTAGATTCAATGATTTGCTTTGTGATTATGCATACGATGAAAAAATTATAAAATTGAAAAATATATGTAACAATGTTACATCTTCTAAAGAGAGTATCCAAGATGAATTAAAGTTAAAATTTAAAAATAAAAACTTGAATTTAGGAACTCAATATTCTATTAATACTTAAGAAAGTTTTTCATATTAGATTAATTTATATATTTTTTTTTTTTTTTTTTTTTTTATTACTTTTTTTTTCTATTTTTTTGTCTTATTTTCTATTTCCTTTTTTTTGTTTTTCTAAATACTTTCTAGTTAGAATATTTCTTAAAAAAAAAAAAAAAAATTTTTTTGTAATTAAATTTTTTTTTTTTAAGTTTAATATAATTACACTATATATAAATTATTAGTCATGAAAAAAATATAAATTCTTTTTAATTAATATTAATTTTATTTTTCTTTAAATTTAAAAAAAAATTATAAAAAAAAACTATTTTTTTTTTTTTTCAGTTTAAATAATTTTCTTTAATAATCACTTTTCTTTTTTTTAATAAATAATATAATTTCCATTCTTTTTAATTAATCAAATTTTTTCATATTCAATACTATTCATATTTTTCTTTTAAAATATACAATATAAATAAATAAGGTAATTATAGAAATTTCCACGTTCCTAATCTTCCATGCAGAACTATTTTTTTGATTACAATAACCTTTTTTTTCATATATACATATATATATATATATTTATATATATATATATTATTATAAAGAAATTAAATTTATATAAATCTATTAATTAGTTCTCTCTTTTAACCATTATAAATTGTGTATAAATTATAACCAAAATTCTAAAAATTAAGAAAAATAGGTTATACAACTTTATATACAAAATAAAAAGATACATAAAAATTTTCTTTTTGTGAATTTTATGAAACTGTTTTTTATGTATAATGATTTTTTTTATATCTACCTTTTTTTAATAAAACATTACTATATACCAAATTTATTAATATATTTAATATTACAATTCTAGAATGAAATTATAAAGTTATTCAATTAATATATAAATTACATAAACTTAAGAAAGTTAATTTATGCTGCATTGTCATAACTATTTAATTTTAAAATTGTTGCTTTAAAAATAAATCTTACAATAAAAACTTAGAAAAATTATTCAGATATACACATATAAACAATTCTAATTAATATTCTATATTTTTTAGTTTGCAACTATATCATTTTCTGAAAAAATAGTTTGTACAATTCTTTAAGAAATTAAAATATATTACTTAAAAATGAATGGTTGCTTAAAAGAAAAAAAAAAAAAAAAAAAAAAAAAAGCCTAAAAAAATTTTTTTATTTGTGTACTAAATGGTTATCAATTTTTTTTTTTTATTATTATGTTTCATTATAATATATAATTATTTGTTAGAATATAAAATTTAAGAATTGTATACAATTTTTAAATTTATATAAAGAAAAAAATATGAATCAATTAAAATTTATATAATTAATATAAAATTAAAGCTATGAACTAGATAATTTATTTCATTTATTTTTTTTTTTTTACACTTGATAAATTTAAATTAAATATACTAGCTTCTTGAATATTTATATTTTAAAATCTTAATGCCTCTTAATTTTGTTAATTTTTTTTTTGCTTGGAATAAAATTTTATTGTGTAAATTTTTTTTTTCCAATAAAATATCACAAGAAATTTAAAATGTAAATAAAAATATATTTTTTTTTTATTTTTTTGTGTTTAAGAAAAAAACAACTATACAGGATTTTAAGTAAATTAAGAAATGCTTTTCTTATCTTTATAGTAAATAAATATATCCTTGAAAAAAATGTTTTTATATGCATGTTGTTATATTTAAAAATATCCGTATATATATCTTGCGAGCTTTTCTATTTAACGCATTTACATTTTTAACTAAGTGTAATGGAAAAAATGCTTTTGAAATTTTCATATATTAATTTATTTTTGCATATATAAAATTATAATTAAATTTGGTTGTACTTACATTTAAGTAATAAGGGACAAATAATTTTTTGGAATCTATGTCTTTTTCTTCTTTTTTTTTTTTCTTTTTTTTTATAAATGCTTATAATTAAAAAAAAAAAAAAAAAAAAAAAAAAAAAAGAAAATTACAAATAAAAAGATAATATTTATGTAAATTAAATATAATGGAAAAAATAAATGAATTAATTGAATTAGTTGGAAATGATAGAAAATATATTGATACTTTGATTAAAACAGATCAGATGGAATTATTGACTCATGAAGGACTAAATAGAGATAATATTTTTGATGTAATAAATCAAATAAAAGAATTTGAATTAATATATCCAGATGGATTATTGAAATATCTAGAGAGAGCAAAAACACTTTTAAAAAAATCAAAAAAGAAAATTAATAAATATGCAAACTACATTATAAAACAGCCAGATAATTTAATTAAAATAAAATTTCATTGGAGAGATATATCATTTAAAACTACTGATTATAACAAAACATCCGAAAAATTATTAATACAGAACACATATATGGACAATGGAACCTTTTTAAATACTTTTTCTAATCATGCTAATGAAGAAATTTTTTATAATGATACTACATTTGCACAAAATTCTAACTGCTTATCTGAAGAAGGAAATACACCAGAAACTATTTCTTCTAATGAAGAATATAATGATATGAATTATTATAAAAAAAGTTCTATTCTTATTAATGAATTAAAAGAGTTAAATAGCAGAAAAAATGTAAAAAATTTAGATGGTATAAATTTAACAGAAGAAGTAACATCAGAAAAAAGTGAGAGCAGTACTTTGTCTAACAATTCAATTATTGAATTATTCATACATTATGAAAAAATAGGATTAAAAGAAATTGATAAAGTATGTTTTATTTTATTAGCTGGAGGCTTAGGAGAAAGGTTAAACTACAATGACATAAAATTAAAATTAAAAACTAACTTAATATCTGAAAAATCATATATTGAATATTATTGCAATCATATAAAAACATTTCAGAATTATATAAAAAAAAATAAAAATAGAGAAGTAGATATTCCATTCATTATAATGTTATCTGATGATACATATGAAAAGACAATAAATTTTTTTAATGAAAATAATTTTTTCTGTTTAAAGAAAAGTCAAGTGCACTTTTTAAAACAAAAAAAAGTTTTCTGTTTAAAAGATAATGAAGCTCACTTAGATTTTTTATATGAAAATAATACATTTAAATTTTCTAAAAAACCACATGGTCATGGAGATATTCATTCCTTAATAAAAAAATATAACATTTTAGATAATTTAATAGAAGAAGGATATAAATATTTATATTTTTTTCAAGATACTAATGCATTAGCAATTAAGGCATTATTTGTTTGTCTAGGTGTTTCTATTGAAAGACAACTTCACATGAATTTTTTAGCAATTTCAAGAAAACCAGGAGAAGAAATAGGAGCTATATGCAAACTAATTAGTGGAGAAAAATCCATGAGTGTAAATTTAGAATATAATATGTTAGAATCAATATTAGCATATACAGGAGAAAAAGAAGTTATAGATGAAAATGGGTGTTCAATATATCCAGGTAACACTAGTGCCATATTATTTGAAATTAAAAAATATAATGAAATATTAAATGCTACCAATGGAATAGTACCAGAATTTATCAATCCTAAATATACTGACAATACAAGAGAGCATTTTAAAAGTCCTACAAGAGTTGAAAGTATGATGCAAGATTTTGCTTTATATTTTAATGGAGAAAATCATAAAGTAGGAGTTACTGAATTAAATAGATTTTTGTGTTTTTCAGCTGTAAAGAATGATTTTCTTAATGCACAAAAGAAAATTGAAAACAATATACATCCTGAATGCATGTTTAGTGGAGAATCAGATTTATATTACAGTAATTATGCATTTATAGAGTTAGCTTGCTTATATAATAATAAAAAAATTACTTTGGATAAAATTCCAATAAAAACTTTTAATGGGGTTCAATATTTTCTTCCACCTAAAATTTTAATTGAACCACAATTTGCTTTTACTTTAAATGATTTAATCAAAAAAATAAAGGGGAATATAACATTAAGTAATAATGCTACACTTTGGATTAAAACAGATGCAATTATTAATAATTTGCATGTAGATGGTACATTAATTATTGAAAAACATAATAATGAAGAAGATAGTGACCCAATTATACTAGATGAAAATGTTTCTATAAAAAATAAAGGATATGAATTTGTTCACCTTGATAATAAATCGGAAAATGTTTCAAATAATTTAAAAATAAGAGGTTATAAATTAATAAAAAAGGAGGCATTCATAATAAGTAATTAAATTTTCATTTCATATTTAGGTATAGTTGTTTTTATATGGAAATCATATATGAAATAAAAGAAGCATAAATATATGTATATTTATGTTAGAAATAGGAGCTAAGTTTTTGTTTTATCACAATATTAGTTTTAATTTTACTTTTTATTTTTACTTTATATTAACTTATTTTTTATTTTTATTTTATTTTCTTTTATTTTTGTAAAAATGATTTTTGTTTTTATGCTTTTATGTAAAAAAGTTTAATTAATAATTTAGAATATTTATATATTTTTAACTTTATTTTTTTTTATTATATATTAGTTTCTTTTTATTTTTTATAGTATTTGTATTAATAATAAATAAATATCAAAATTAAAATGTTAAATAAAACAAAAATACACATATATGTATATATTTGTTACATATTTTTACATAAATAAAATTGTATATATATACATTTATTTATTTGTTTAGTTTTTTTTTTTTTTTTTTTTTTTTTTTTTTTTTTTTTTTTTTCTGTTACTTATTTCTTACTATTTACAGTTATCACTTTATATAATATATAACTTAGAAATATATATTTATGCGATGTACAGATTTAACTAAATTTAATAGACATTTTTTCCAGTATCATTAAAACACACACTCATCTCTTTTATAAATTATCATGAAAATTATTTTTTTTTAATTATTAATTAAATTCTTATATATGTTATTATATTATTATTCTTCATAACAACTTTTAGTCTCTTATTGACTAAATAAGTTTTTTTTCAATTTAATTTTATAGAATATATTAAAAACATTTTTAAAAAAAATTATTACTTTTTACATAAATTAGTATCACATAAAAACGACAATAAAAAAATAAAATAAAATAAATATATTTACTCTTATAATTCTTAGAAATGGATAAATTAAAAAGAAAGCTGTTGAATATTAACTTAATAACCATTATTATTTATTTGAAGGTTTGTTATTATTATTTTTTTTTTTTTTTTATAGCTTCCATATAATTTACTTTTTTTATTTTAAAATATACACTTATATATAGAAAATAAAAAAGACTATTATTTTGCATAAATTAAAAAATATATATATACATTTAGGTATTATTATAAAAATAGATAAAGAAGACATTTTCATAGAAGAAAAAATATATATATATATATAACCATATGTTTTTATAAGGGATATATGCATTGCTAATAATTTTAAAAGAAATAAATATTTATTTATATATAAATATATAAAAATAATGAAATTATTTTTAAAAAAAATTATATATTTTAAAATATATTTAAATATTAACATATGAATGCACCTAAAATAATAGTAAAAATATAATGCATGTATATATTTTAAAAAAAAAAAAAGTATAATTAAAATATTATATGTAATATCTGTTAAAAAATTAATTTTTTTTCTTTTTCTTCCTTTTATTATATCCTTCATCATCATCACTTTTATATGCGAATCGTTTTTTATCGTCTAAAAATTAATAAAAAAAAAAAAAGCGATTTTTATCTTACATACATAAATATAATATTTAATAAAATAATATTTTTTTTTAACCTTTTTTAGCTCTTTCCTCAAGCTCATCCCACGATAATCCTTCATCTTCTGAATCTTCTTCAACTTCTCCTTCTCCATCACTTTCAGTTGCTAAACTTTCATCAGCACTATCATCATATTCACTATCATCTTCAGCACTCTGTTAGAAATAAAAATTTATAAAATTGATGAAGTAATAAATATATATACATAAAACAATATAAATATTGTATAGTAATTTTTCTTAAATAATTACTAGCTCTGATTCATCTAATTCATATTCATCATCTTCATCCTCATCTTCAGCTGAGTGCTCTTCTTCATCATCATCTTCTCCCAAAAATCCTTCAAATCCTTTTGAATTTACAAAGGAGTCAATATCAGATAGAATAGTTTTTAAAATATTTCCCCATTGTAAATTATTTTTTCCTTCATAATATACTATATCGATAGTTGTTAACCACTTTTTTATTGTATCAATATATTCTGTTGGAATAACATCAATTCTTTTAACTGGTTTTGTATAATCTTTAAAAACAAATATCATGTCAAAATTTCTTAAACCATGATGAACTCTTTCTAATGAAGCGATTTCAATATCTTCAACTGATAAAATAAAGGGTGGCCATTCAACAAGATGATTAATTGTGTTTGCTGTAACAAATATTTCTACATTACTCTTGTTTGGAACTCCTGAAAAAGTTAATTCAGGATATGGAATTTCAAACTCTATTTTTGAAGCATCTTGCATTTGTTGAACGAAATTTTTAAAAATTAAATTTAATTTGTTTTTTTGCTCTCTTTCTTTCATTTCATCATGCATTTCATCAGGATCATAAACATTCCTTGCCTTAGCTCTATCTAAGTCATCTATTTGGGTACCAGCTTCACAATAGAATTGAACATCTAATGTTTTCTTTTTTCCTACCATTATATATCTTTTTAAATGAAAATGAATTAAAATAATCAATTGACCATCACAAGGTTGATAAAAGGCATGCTTAATGTCATCAAATAAAATATCAATATACTCTGTAGTTCCTCTTGAATTAGCTGAATATCTTAATCCATTAGTATGCAGCTCTAATGTACCTAATATTTTTCTTCCAGTAAATATATTCGGTCTAGTCATCAAATCACGTAAAATAATTCTTCTTCCACTTTTATTTAAAATTAATTTATCCTGAGTATGTTTAGAATCATTTACATCCGCTTCTACTTCTTTTTGCTTTACTTGTTTAATTAATTCTTTAACTTGTTTAACTACCATCTGAAAATGTTTTTCATCTTTTGATTTAAATATTAACTCTTTAATATACATTTCCTTTGCTTGTAATGTTGGAAATGTATTAAAATCTCCTTTTACTACTCCTTGATTTCCCGGAACTAAAAAATTGATACGTAAAACAAATATATCATTATTATCTTCATAGTTAGAACTTAAATTTTTTATAGTAGAAACATGAAAAGGTATATGCAATCCATTAATTGGTAATAATATGCATTCATGTTTATTATCTACACATATGACATTTGGTTTTAGATCTTTTGGTAGCAAATCTGGATCATTATATGCTTTTATATCTTCAAGTTTTTTTATATTTTTTTTATTCATATCTTTATAATCGTTAGTTCCCTTAGAAAATCTAAATTTGATTTCATTAATTTTTTTTTCTTTTAATTCATTTTGTCTTCTATTTAATTCTTCCATCTCTTGTTCATTATTATGTGCTATAGAATTTTTATTTCTTCTTCTTAATCTATCTGAGACAATAACACTTGCTGCGTTATTTAATATACTGGCAGATATACCAATTTTTTTTTTATCTACATCTCCATTTTTTTTTTCTTTTTTTACATCTTTTTTTTCTTCATCATTACTCGAGCTATCTTCTAATTCATAAGATATAGTATTAATTTCTTTACTTAAGGTATCTGTTAAAACAATAACTTCTTCTTTATCATTAATATAGATAGTATCACTTAACCAGATAGCAAAATTGCTTTTGTCATCTCCTTGCACATTTTCAAAGCCAACTGACAAATTGTATGATGTGTTTTTTTCTATTCTACCATTTTCATTACTTTCTGTTATTAAAAATTCTTTCTCCATAAATTCTATTCCTATAACATGTCCTATACATTTAACGAAGTATTCTTCTAAGTTTATATTTTGCAAGCTATCACATTCTTTTTTATTTTGTTTTATATAATCAAATGCTTTTTTATAAACACTAGAAAAGGTACTATTTACTTTTAAGCATTCTTTTATAATATATTTTTCTATATTTAAAGTAAAATTGTATAATTCTTTATGATGGGTTTTAGCATTAAGTAATAAAGTTCTTGTTATATTACAACATAACTCTTTGTATTTCAAACCAAGACCTACAATAATTGTTCCTTCATTTTGAGATAAATAATTTTTATCGTTACTATTTTTATATGTTAGTGTAAATTTGTTTCCACTCTGAACATTACTATAAATAATATCTATTTCATCTATGTCTACTTTTAATTTGTCTTTTAATTTCATTAAACATTTTTTATTTTCATGAAATTTTAAAGCATTATCTTTTATTTTTTCATGGCTCTCAAACTCTTCATTATCTAGTGCATTTTCTATCGTTGTAATAAGAGTACTTTTTAAAATTATACATGCTATATCACTTCCACTTTTTTGAATTTTCATATCTGATTCTGAACGAAAATTTAGTAAGTGTTTTATACTACTACTTACGTCCAATTCCCTTTTATCTAACTTTTTAATGAAGTCATAACAATTTTCAAAAAAAGTTCCAGTTGCATCTGTGTCTCTTAATATTGCTATTTCACTAGAGTTTGCGCTTTCAATTGAATTTTTAATTTTTTCAAAATTCTCCTTATTGTCATTACTTCTTTCTAAAATTTCTACATTGTCCATATTATCTAAGAGTGGCTGTAAAAATTTTCTTTTTTTATCACTTGTTAAAATAATTAACTTTTCATTTTTTAAAAATATAAAAAATGTTTCAGTTAACTGGTATCCAGTTAACCACATTTGAAATTGTTCTTGTATTGTTGCATTTTCATCTTTACTAGATTTTCCTGATAAAACACAAAATATATTTGTTTTAGAGAATTCATTATTTGCAATGTTTACCCAATAAGAAAACACTAATTTTATTTTAGCTTTTGCATTTTCAACGTCAAGTGATTCATTCATCTTTTATTTATATTTCCTTTATTAATTTTTTCTATATTTCTTAAAATATTTACAAAATTTTTATTTTATCTAAATAAATTATATTCTAAATCAAAAATTTTTATCAACTTCTCTTTAATATATATATTTATATCCTTTCAATTTTTTTAACACATAAATATATATATATTCCCTTATATTTTTTTAAATATATATATATATACTTCCAGAGTTTTTTTAATATATATTTTTATTTCCTTCTGCTTTTTTTTTTTTTGATAAATATAAACATGTTTACTTCTCTTGGTTTTTTTTTATTTTTCTTTTATATATATATATATATATATGTTTATATATTTTTTTTTTTTACACAATAGCCTTTCTTTGTGTATAATACAATTACTATTTCCTTTAAAAAGAAAAAAAAAGTTAAAATGATGGATTTAATAAATCATATATTTCTTTTATCGTTTTTTTTTTTTAAATAAAAAAGTAAATATATAAAATTTAAAAAAATTAAGAATTATTTTTCTTTATATATAAATATATATATATATATATGTAATAAATGCATTTTTTTTTTTTTTTTTTTATCACCAATAATTATCTATTTAATTAATCTTATATGTAAGAAATCAACCTTCAAAAGTTATCTAAAGGAAAAAAATTTAGTTGAATCTATAATTACATAAAAAATATATTATTAAAAAGTTGATCAAAAAATGATTATTCCAATTACATCAAAATTATGAAAACATAGATGTATGATTATTGCATTTCGAATGATAAAAAAAATTTAGATTACATATTTATTCTTATATATATTTTTACTGTCTTAAAAAAAAATTAAATTACTTTTTTTATAATTAAATTTTTAATATTAGTTAATTTAATAACTTATTTGTCTTTAGAAATACTTATATTTTAAAGTAATATGAATTTGGTTCATTTTAAAAATATTAGCTAATATGAAAATTAATTTTCCCTATTAACTTTATTTTGTTCAAAGCTTTTTCATAAATCTTAAATGCTTTTATATAATTCAAAAATATGTCAAGATTTTTTTTAGACAAAAAGTTCTACAAAAGATATCAATAATCAGTACAAATTTTTTAAAAAAAAAAATTATTAAAACTTTTTTGAGGTGTAAAATGATTAATTTATTTTTTCAGAATTGAAAATTATTTTTTAACGATTTTTGCATCATTCCTATTTTAATAATAATAAAACATAAAATATGAAGTTTTTTTTAATTCTTTTTTTTTTCATTTTTATTTTTATTTTATTATGGAAATATTTATCTAAACTCATAGAAATTCTATTAATTTTTAACCTCATCTTTGTATATATAAAGCTTGAATAGAAAGAAAAACAAAAAAATGAATTTTTCAAATATATTTTAATTTTATAAAATGGATATTTTTGTAGTATAATAAATGGCTCTTTTTGATTTGATAAGAGTTAACTCTTAGTAGGAAAATGTCATATTTAAATGCAAAATTCACTGTATATTCATAAATATATTTTTTCTTATAATTATATTAATAATCTTAAAAAATTAAACACTTAAAATTAAATATTCATATTTATAGGGAGTGTTTTAAAGTTTGTTATTAAAAATGTATCATTTAAAAATAATTAAGTATTTTAGTTTTTATTTGCGTAAAATAAAAAATACAAAAAACAAATTAAATTATTCATAAAAATGAATAATATTTCTTCTAATTTTTAATATTACTATTAAATTTTTGTTATCCCCTTAAAAATAAAATTATGAAAACCCGTAAAAACATATATATTAAAACTAAATAATACTTAAATATGTAAAAATTATTCCTAAAAAATTTATATTTTTTACCATAAATAGTTTGATGAAATTCTAAATAAAGCAATAATTAATAGTATATATATTTTAGGAGTTTAAACACGTGTGTTTCTCATTATTTTTAAAAATTGAATAAGATAAATATTTTAGCCATCATAATATTTTTTATTTATTCGTTTCCTTTCATTTCATTTTAATTTATTTTTTTTAATTATTTTAAATATAAATACAAAAGAGTTAAATATATGCACAATGCAAATAAGAATATACATAAAAATTAAAATAAAACTTTGTAAATTTATATATTTTTATTATTTTAATTATTTAAAAGTTATAAAATATTTCATATGAGATAAAATAAGAGAAAAACATGAAAAATAAATAATATATGACCATGCAATATATTTTTTTTTCATTTTTTCTAACGAATTTATCTTATTTTTATAATTTTGCTTAACAACATAAACCCAGTATCCACAAAAATTTTGTCTCTATTATATGAAAAAAAAAAAGAATAATGAAAATGTTTTAACTCAATAATTTTTTTATATAGATGTATCCATAGATACTTTTAAAATAATTTTTTAAATATACATTATTATGATTATTATTGAATATAAGATGAAATTAAAGAGATACTGCATAAGAGATATTTCCTATAATGTTTTATATTTTATAAATATAAATTTAAATTAGATACTCTACATTTTGTCTGTAGAAAGGACACCTTAAATTTTCTATATATTTCTCACACACTATTATATATTAACTTTTTCTTTTTTAAAAATAAGAATAAATGATTCATAATTTAATATAATATAAAGCTTGAATATCGTTATGATATAATTCAGAATTGTAAATGTGTGCTTTAAAAAAAAAAAAAAAAATGCATTTATATAATATATTTATATATATATATATATATATTTTTAGTATGTAAATCGTTTTTTTTTTAAATAAAATAAATTTGCTCATAAGTGCACTAGATTGGTCATTCTTAATATTTTATCTCAGGTTATTTAGTAAAAAAAAAAAAAAATACGTGAAGTACTACAATGTTTAAAATATCAATGATTCACATATTTTTTTTCCTTTTTATTAATATATTGTAAATAATACCTCTTTATTTTGACAAAAAATTTCATCTTTCGTGGATTTAAAAAAATGAAGTATATGTTATTTTATTTATAAACATCTTATTTAAATGAAAATAAAATTGTGCATACATTATATAATTTTTTTTATTTTTTTTATTAAAATTTTTTTATTTATATATTTTTTTTTCTCAAATAATTTAAAATAAAATTACATTATATATATATTTGATAAAAAAATATTTTAATTAAATATATATTACTTTCAAATTTACTTTTATTAAAAAAACTAGGAATTTCAAAAAAAAAAAAAAAAAAAAAAAAAAAAAAAAATTAAGAAATTTGAGTCATACAAACATAAAATAACTAATACAGAAATTAATGTATTAATATAATAAAAATAATTTTTAAATATATTGATTCGTTGTCAATATTAATTATTGTTATGTCAAAAGATAAAAAAAAATTGTAAAGCTTAAAAATAAAATTGTAAAAATATATATATATTATTGTAGCATTAAAAGAAACTAAAAATGAGGATATTAAGAAATTAAATTAAAAAACAATAATTTGATATTTATGCCTTTTTAAAGCATAAACATTTTTTAACATTAAACTATTTTATGAAATATTTTTTTCAAAACATATAATTATTAATTTTAATTTAAATAGTCCCCCAACTTTTTTGATCTATATATATACAAATATATTTATATTTATATTTATTTATTAATATAACATATCAGATAAGGAGGAGTTAAATATAAAATAAAAACATAAAATTAAAAAAAAGTTTAAAAAATAATATATATATATATATATTAAATAAAATGGTTATAAGAGATAGTGTATCAAGAATTTATGTTGGAAACCTACCATCTCATGTATCTTCAAGAGATGTAGAAAATGAATTTCGTAAATATGGTAATATAATAAAGTGTGATGTTAAAAAAACAGTATCAGGAGCTGCATTTGCATTTATAGAATTTGAAGATGCAAGAGATGCAGCTGATGCAATAAAAGAAAAAGATGGTTGTGAATTTGAAGGAAATAAATTACGGGTTGAAGTTCCATTTAATGCTAGGGAAAACGGAAGATATAATTCAAGAGGTGGTGGAAGAGGGATGATGAATAGAGGGCCTAAATCAAGAAGAGGAAGATATGTTGTTGAAGTAATGCTCATTTTAGTTCTAACATAATCATGCATATTTGTAAATTTAAATATATATATGTATATCCGTATACATAATTTTTTTTTTTTTTTTCTTTTAAAGGTTACAGGATTACCCACATCTGGTAGTTGGCAAGATTTAAAAGATCATTTAAGAGATGCAGGGGAATGTGGTCATGCTGATGTTTTTAAGGATGGAACTGGTGAAGTATCATTCTTTAATAAAGCTGATATGCTTGAAGCCATAGATAAATTCAATGGATCTATATTTAGATCACATGAGGGTAAAAAAATAATAAGAACAAAATATATGGAAAGCTCTTCATTTCTTTATGTATTTTAATTATTTATTTCTTTTTCTTATTATTGAATATTTTTAAAAGATTAATATATCCATTAAATATACATATTTTATTTGTATTTTATAAAGCTCTATTATTTTTATGAAAAATTTTTATTATATATTCGTTTTTATTTAATCCATTTAATATTACATATTTTTGATTTTTTATGTGATTTTCTATTTATTATATTATATAATAAGTTATATAGATTTTATATTTATATGAATTAATGTAATTAATGAAAAATTACATATATATAATTTTTTTTATTATATATAATTACATCCTTATATATAAATTATATAATTATTAAAAAGTATATACATATTTCATTTTATTTTTCTCTTTTTTCATTATATATATATATATATATATATATATATATATATATATATTTAAAGTAAATAGTTGTTTAGCTTATATAAGAAGTAACACTGCTTCTTATTGTCATATAAAACATTCCATATGTTTAAGAAATAAATATTCTTCATATTAAAATTTAAAACTAATTAAATAATGGTATTTGTGTAGTTAATGTATATTATTTTTTTTTATTTATGGTGTATTAAATTTTTTTATTTGTTTCTTTGATTTTATTTTTTCTTTCTCAATAATGTACCTTATATATATATACATTGGATATTTTTAATATGAAAGGAATAAAAATTACATTTATAAAAATATAGATTATTTTTACAATTTTTTATTATTTTTGTAATTAGTTTGGTTAAACACATAAAATTTTTTAATGTTATGAATATTGCTTATATATATTATATTATATTTTAATTTTCATAAAATTATTTTTTTGTTATTCCTTTTGATTAATAAAGTTAATTTGAGAATTTTATTTATTTATTGGAGTACACAATTATATAAATGTAATATTTATTTTTTTTATAACTTTCAGGAGAAAAATCAAAAATAACCATAAGACAGAAAAAAACATCATGGCGTCATGATGATGGAGGATATGGTAGATATAGTAGCAGAAATAGAAGTTATTCCAGTAGAAGTTATTCAAGAAGTGGCAATAGGTCATATACTAGAAGTAGAAGTTATAGTAGTAGAAGCTATAGTAGAAGTAGAAGTAGAAGTTCAAGTAGTAGAAGCAGAAGTCGAAGTATGGATAGAAGAAGAGATGCTTATGATAAAAAAAGAAGTTATTCAAGAAGTTTATCATACCAAGAAAGAAGAAGGAATAATAGATCATTGTCAAGATCTAAATCGAGATCAAGATCTAGAACAGACTCAAGATCTTCCTCATGGTCTCATAAAAGAAGACATTAGATATTTTTTAATAAAACAAAAATTAAATAATCAATAAAATATTCATATTTTACATATATATTTATTATCCATTTATTTATGTGTGTAACAATTATATATATATGGAATAAAGAATTTTATTTATATAATCATTGTGTATAATTTAAATTCAGTATTTTTTTTTTTTTTTTATATTTTAACATACTCTTTTCAAAACGGTAGTTTAGTAGGCTCCATATATATATATATATATTTATATAAATACAACTATTTTCCTCCAAGCTTTATTAAATTATTTATGTATATGATTACATTTATTTTTTAAATTTTATTTATATATTATAATGACTTGTTGTACATTACATAAAATGTTTTATAATTTTTTTTAAAAATAAATATTTATAAATAAAATAATCACAAAGTTGTATGTAAATTTTTTAAAATAGATATATTTTTACCATTATCTGTCTTTTTCATATTCCCATACAATAGAGCATTATACCATATTAAAAGACCTCATCTGTAATATAAAAGGACACCCTTCTTTATCTATGTGATTAATGTATGATGATGATTCAATAATCTTTGCTATTATTATTTTAAAAGAATTAATTTTCCTTCCATCACAATTATAAATGTATTTGTTATAATTATACCATAAAAATAACAAATATACTAATATTTTTTTCACAAAAATTTTTATTAGGAGCGTCTTTTAAAATTTTTGCAAAAAATTTAATTTATCATTGAATTTTTTTTAATCAGAATACTTTAACCCTTGGGAAACATTAAAATGTTGCCTTATTTCATAAATGCTTTTTATTTTTATGTCTTTTTTTTTTTTTTTTTTTTTTTTTTAATAAGGTAAATTTATATAATAATTTTTTTTATTATTTTTATTCTTTATTAGGAACATTTTTAGTATATTTGATAATAAAAAAAAAAGGAAGATTCGTTATAAGTTTTTTAAAAAAAAGTATATGACAATTTTGTGATTTTTTTTTTTTTATGAAACTGTTTCAATTTTTTATAAAATGTCTTTTTGATTTGTTTTTTTCCATATAAGTAATTGTGTTATATTTAAAAATGTAAAATGCAATTTTTTTAATATACAAATAGAAAATTTGAAAATTAAACTTAATAATTAAAAGTTTATTAATAATTATATTATTTTATAGTTAAATGGTTTTTTAATAATATTTCTGCTGATTAAATCAATAAATTTATTGAAGTTGTCATTTTTGTTAGAATAAAACAATAAACATATTTACTCAGCTTAAAAAACCTATTTTTTTTTAAGAAATCCATACAGTAGCTAACCATTTTTTTTTTTTTTTTTTTTTTTTTTTTTTGTTAATAAAAATTATATATTTTATCTATAATTTAAAAATTTATAAAAATATATATACAAAGGAAACAATATGTGTAATAAAAAATATAAGTAAATAGCTTTTGTAATTGTTTTTTCGTAAGACAAGACAGTACAGTTACATTCTATTAATAAAAATTCTTTGGTGATACATATATACTAACTTTAACACATTTCATTTTTTATCTTAATTTCAACAAACATGTATTTTTTTTTTTTTAACCAAATAAAATATATTATTATTTCTTGTTAATGAATTTATATCATTAATAATAGATGTCTTAATATATTAATATTTTTTTTATTATGAATTTTAAAATAATTCATCTACAATGCAAGATATAAGAGATAAGATGATTAACATTAACAGTGATATTAAAGATGGAAAAATTACGAAAAAGAAATCAACAGTTTCTTTTAGAAAACATGTAAATCCAAACAAACAAATTAAATATAATAGTGGTGATCAATATGATAAGGCAATAACATTAAATAAAAATACTGTTAGATTAAAAAAATCATTTAGAGAAAAAAATAGCAATGTACATAAACCTACTTTAAATAAAATTAAAAGCAAGCATTTGAGTGGAATAGAATATGTTTTTGGTATAAAAGATTATGACGAATTAGAAAAAAAACCTAAAAGAAAAATAACTAGAGAAAATTCTGATTATTTAAGAATAAAAACATTTTCTAAAAAGCCAATGAAAAAAAGCAAATCAAGAATTAAACTTATGAATGAAAAAGGAGTCACGAAGGAAAAAAGAAAAAATATCTTTGAATATAAAGAGGGAGGGAAAAAAGATAAATACAATAAATTAAAGGAAGAAGAAAAATATGAGTACTCCAAAAATAAGAGAAATGAGAATATATGTGAAGATGAAGATAAGAAAAAAGACAAAAAGGAAGACGAAGAAGAAAAAGATGAAGAAGAAGAGGAAGAAGGAAAAAAAGGAGAAGAAGAAGGAGATGAAGGGGAAGAAGAGGAGGAAGATGGAGAAGAAGAAGAGGAAGGAGAAAAAGAAGATAAAGAAGAGGATGGAGAAGAAGAAGATGAAGAAGAAGAAGAAGAAGAAGAAGGAAAAGAAGGAGAAAAGGAAGGAGAAAAAGGAGAAGAAGAAGTAGAAGAAGAAGGAGAAGGTGAAGTAAAAGGAGAAGAAGAGGAAGAAGAAGAAGGAGAAGAAGAGGAAGAAGAAGAAGGAGAAGAAGATGAAGATGAAGACGAAGAAGAAGATGAAGAAGAAGAAGGAGAAGAAGATGAAAATGAAGACGAAGAAGAAGATGAAGATGAAGAAGAAGAAGGAGAAGGAGAAGAAGATGAAGATGAAGACGAAGAAGAAGATGAAGATGAAGATGAAGATGAAGAAGATGAAGATGAAGATGAAGAAGAAGATGAAGATGAAGAAGAAGGAGAAGATGATCAAGATATAAAAGAAGAGAAAGAGAAGGAAGTAGAATATAAAGACAAAGAAGAGGAATATAAAGAAAGAGAAAAATATAGTAAGGAGGAATATAAGCAAAAAGAACATAAAGTAGAATATAAAAAAGATGAGAAAATATTAAAAGAGGAAAAAAAAAAGATAAAAGAAAATGTAAAAAAAAAAAACATTTTTAATAAAGAAAATTTGTTTCAAAAAACAATTGTAATTAAGGAAGCAAGTAATTGTAATAAAAATATGAATGAGAAATTAAAAAAAAACTTTACAGAAAATATAGATTCAATTATGGTAAATATTCCAAAGAAATCATTTAGTATGAGAATAGATAAGAGTGTTACAGATTCCTCTTCGGTACCATTTAATAAAATTCGAAAGTTAAATATGGAGAAAAAATTAAATATCATGAAATCAAAATCACAAATACTAAAAATAGCAGAAAGATATATGAGTACTGATCAAATTAACTCATTAAAAAATATGGAAAGAAAAAATGCACAACCACTACCTAAAAATAAAAAAAATAGTTCAGATAAAATACATGTATCTGGACCATTTCTACCAAAAAAAAAAGAAGAAGTAAAACCATTAAGAAAACTTGGGTATATTCCAAATTACTTAAAAGAAAACATAAAAAATAAAACTAACAATGCTTTATATTCAAAAAAAAATAATAAAATGATATTAAGAAAACGAAATAGTATTCAAGGATTTACATTATTTCAAAATATGTTAGCATTAGATAATTCTGGGAAATTGCATTTATGGGATGGATATCAATGGAAGAATATAAATATTCTTTATGAAATTTTTGTATCAATATGCACTAATAAAAAAGGCTATATATTATGCGTTAATTCTAATTTTAAGCCAGGATATTTAATGAATAATAGATGTTTTCAAAAAATAGATACATATAAGGAAGCATTTTTCTTAAAAATTGTTATTAACATAAAAAATCAGATTTGGGGAATAAATTTAAGAGGCGACTTGCTAAAATGGAATAAATACGAATGGATAAAAGTAAAAAAGGCATATGGAATTTCTAAACTAAAATCATTAGCTTTCGATAGAAAACATAGATTATGGATACTAGACCAATATAATTATTTTTATATTTTTGATACAGAAAATAAAAATTGGATGCTTAAAAACATTAATGGTATTAATATAAAAGATTTCGATTTTAACGAAAATAATTACTTGGTAGCTGTTACAAATGAGGGAATGATTAAAATTCACAAAAATAAAAGATGGATTAAATACGGAATTTCAGCAGAAATGAGGATAACAAGTTTGCATTTTCTAAGAGAAATCAATGACACAAAAGAAAATGATTACGAAAAAAAAGAAAAAAATTCAATAACAAATATATGTATTCAACAATAAGTATTGTGCCTATATTTTGTCCTATATTAGTTTACTTATTCTATATATTTTTCTTTTCATTTTTAAGAACATATTATTTCTATTAATATCTTAATTTTTTAATTTTATAGTCTCCATTATTTTAAATTTTTGATTTAAAAAAAAAAAAAAAAAAAAAAAAACATCTATAGAAAGATTAAACTTTTATTTTAAAAGACAAAAAAAAATACAAATTTTATTTTTTATATATTTTATCATTATGTGCTATATTACTTTACAAAAAGTTTACTATTTAACAATTTTATTTTTTATAAAATTTACCTACTTATGTTATGACATCAAAAATTCACATTTATTTGTTTTTTAAACTGTATTCTTTTCTATTAAATTTATTAATTCTTTGTATATTTTTAATGAAACTTTTAATTAATATTTTTTTCTCCTTTTTTCTTATGTTTTCGGTTATATATATATATGTGCATATATTTAAATTTTTTTTTTTTTTTTTTTTTTTGTATATATTTTTTTCATAATTTAACATTAAAAATAGATGGAATAAATTTCAAAAAAATTTAATCACAATTTAATAAAAATAAAGAAATAATAATTTAAATAAAAAAAGTTCTCTTAAAATTATATTTAAATGTGAAAATTTAATATTAAAAATGACAAAAATTAAATTGTAGCATAGAAGTATTACAACTTTTTCTCTATTTGAAATGAATGATTTTTCAATTTTATTTATTAGAAAGCTCGTTCCTTGTGTTAGTTTGAACAAAATTAATTCTGTATATTTATTGAAACACCTTGAAAATGTTTGTGAACATATTTTTCAAGAAAATAAGTATAATGTTAAAAAACCAATAAAGAATTGTTTTTCTAACGTGTTTTTAAAAAAAAAAGGAAAGAAGAAAAAGAAAATAACGAATTCTGTAATAAGTACTGAAAGAAGCAATAAAATTTTTAGGCAAGTCTATCAATATTTTGACAAAGCAACAGTTTTATTACCAGAATTGGGTCCAAATGGTATCCTTAGGTTGTTATATGCTTTATTAAAAGTAAAAAATTTCGAAAGAAATAAGGCAAAAAAAATAACTGTTTTAAAATACATTGAATATTATATATTAAGAAGTTCTATAAATGATGAAATTTTTAATTTTTGGAAACATTTTACAATAAATGATGCAGTATTACTATTTAAAATGTTTATTATGAATGATTACTTTTCTTATGATTTACTTAATACATTAACTAATAAGATAATTGACAATATAAAATGTTCTGTTCCATCTGATATAGTTATATTTTTGTCTGCATATCATACGTATAAACAAAAAATAAAATATAAGAGATATAAAATAAAGGAGATATTTTTAACTTATAATTCTTTGAAAATACTATACAATGAAGTCGTAAATAATTTTGATCTTACAAATAAGGAAATATGTAATTTTATTATGTTTTATTCTTTATACGGTAAAAGTATTTCATTAGATGAAAAAATAATGATATACTTTAAAGTAGTTCAGCATATAGAAAAAACTATGTTAATTTATTCACCTGAGCAAATTAAAAATCTAATTATAAGTTTATTTAGAATTCATAACTTTACATTTGATAACACTTTTAATGAAAACATATATAAATGTTATGATAAAACTTTAACGAATGAAATATTAAAGAAATTATTCAAATTATATAATTATCGCAACATAGATGTAAAAATAGAAGATGAATTAAATATTTTAGATCAATCATTAAAAAACAAATATTACGATTATAATAGTTTAGAAGATATGATATTTAATATAAAAAATAATATCTCAAATTTAAAAAATAAAAATCAAATAAAATATATTAATTTAGTTATAAAATTGCTAAATGTATACAGAAACGAAAATAATATACATATTTCTTCACAGAAAAAATTTAACTATTTTATGCTAAGACATATTTTAAGTGAATCTTTGTCTTTTTTTAATCTAAAATATAAGTTTTTACCATGGAATCTTATGCATATTGTTTTAAAATATCAATTAAACGATGCTAAAAAAATTTTGCCATACAAATATGAACTAAAAACATGAAAAATATTCATGTACATATGAAAAATTAATTTTATATTTAAAAAAAAAATTATATATTTTCCTACAAGAACTCATTACATAGTATTTGTAACAATAAAAAATAACAATATATTAAGAAGAAATAAATATATATATATGTATATATGTGTATATATTTTTAGTATATAGTAGAAAAGTAAAACATCTTTATAATTTGTTAACAGGATTCATAGAACATTTTCAAATATTACATTCTATTTATTCATTTTAATTTCTTATATATTGTGAATTTTCCATTATTATATAATAAAATATAGTTTTAATGTTTCTATTTTATCTTTTTAATTTATGTAATTTTGGAAAAATATCTGTTTTCTAAACTATATTGTTTCTTTTTTTTTTTTAATATATATAATTTTTAAAGACTTTTGTTATTTTATTTTTTTTTTTTGTTTTATTTTTTTAATTAATACCTGAAATTTCAATTTAAAATTCTTTTAATTATTTTTGCTACTTTTTATATTTTATTTTAAATATAACATTGAATTTATAGAATTTTACTTTTAGAAAAAATTAGTATTTATTCTTTTTAGTAATTTTAAAATTCTTTAAATAGTTCTGTATAATTAATTTCATTGTATAAATAACAAACTCTTTTTAAATAAACAAACAAACAAATTTATAATTCAAAACATTTTATATTATTCCATTTTTATTATAGTGAATATTCAAAAATAATTGAATACAAAAAAATTATATATATATATATATATATATATATATATATATATATATATATTTTAAAAAAAAAGCAGTAACCCCCCAATTTGCTAATTTATACTTGATATTTGTTTTAAACATTTTTTAACTTTAAAAATGTTTAAATGACGAGAAATATAAAATTTAAATTATTTTATAACTTTAATATGATTAATGTATAGAAATAATTATAGAATCAATTTTCTTTCTATTTTTGAAAAGAAAAAGTCAAAAAAAAAATTTTATATTTTTTAAAATTCTATATTTAATTTTTAAAAATAAATGCTCTTAATATATGCATATTTCATTTATATACGTTTATAATTTTCTTAAAAAAAAATAAAAATAAAGGTGGATAAAATATTAACATACATGTCAAATATATAAACTTAAATGTACATTTATCTATAAAATTTTTTTGTAAACTGAATTATATATATGTATTAAGTATTTTCAATAAAATGTAAAATGTTTTACGAAGAAAAAAATGTTAAGTATATATGAATGTATATATTTGTTTTAAAAAAAAAATATATATTTGATAAAAATTATATTTGATTTTTTATAAGAAAAAAAAAAAAAAAAAATAAATAAATTTAATAAAGTTAAAAAAATTTATAGTGAAAAAATTTAAAATTTTAAATAGAGAATTTATAATTATTTAAATATCATTTAATTGTAAATATGGCTCCAAGACCAGATCCAAACGAAATAAAATATGGTAAAATTTTTTTTAAGTTTTTAACTATTTTATTATATTTTTTAATGATATATATATATATATATGAATTTATCAAAATAAATATGGAAAACAATGAAAACAAAATTTAATTATATAATATATATATTATCAGCTAAATTTTATAAAAAATTTTATGAAAATATAAAAATGTTAAATTAATGCTTTTTATATATATATATACATAATTTTAACCCATTATGGCCTTATTTAAATTTTTTTTTTATTATTTATATTTTAAAATTATATCTCTTAATATGAAAAAAGTTTAGAGTTTATAATTATTAAGAAACCTAAATATTTATATTTTTATATGTATTTTATTTTCTTCTTTTTTCTTCTTTTTTCAACTTTTTAAAATTTTATAACATATATATTTTTTTTTTATAGTTTATATTAGACAAGTAGGAGGTGAAGTAGGAGCTTCATCAGTTTTATCTCCTAAATTAGGTCCCTTAGGTTTATCCCCCAAAAAAATTGGTGATGATATAGCTAAAGAAACTCAATCATGGAAGGGACTAAAAATTTGTGTAAAATTGACAATTCAAAATAGACAAGCAAAAATAGAAGTAGTACCCACATCTACAGCTTTGATTTTAAAAGAATTAAATGAAGCACCAAGAGACAGAAAAAAAGTAAAAAACATAAAACATAATGGAAATTTAAAATTAGAACAAATTTTTTCCATTGCTAGATTAATGAGAGAAAAATCAAGAGCTAAAGAGTTTAAAGGAACTGTTAAAGAAGTTTTAGGAACATGTAATTCCGTTGGTTGTACTGTTGATGGAAAGAAACCAACTACTATTCAAGAAATGATAGATTCTGGTGAAATTGAAGTACCACTTGATTAAGTATTAAATTAGAAAACTTATGGATATACATTAGCATATATATATGTATTTATATAATATTTTATAAAATGTATTGAGAAAATTAAAGATTATTTTATGATACTAAAGAAAATTATAAAAATAATTTAAATTGAAATTTAATAATGATGATTAATAAAGTGATATATAATAAACCTTTCATAAAATTATAATAAATATGTTACCAAAAATAAATTAATTTTTAATATATTTTGCTTTTACATTTTTTTTTTCTATAAATTTAAACTAATAGTTTCTTATCTCTAAAAACTTTTTACTTTTATATGTAGAATTATTAAGTATAAATATATAAAATATTTCTCATTTTTATCCTTATATTAACATAAAAAAAAAAAAAAAAAAATATAAGTTATAATAAAATTTATTTTAATTAGAATTAAAGTTGTAAAAATTTTAGGTAATATATATATCAATATATATAAAATAAAATGTTAAAACTGCTTATAAAAAACTAAAAAAAATTCAAAGGAATACTTTGAGCACATTGCACATAAAAAAATATTAATGTATCTATTATTTTAATTATTTTTTTTTAAATTCATTTTTGAGTTTACATAATATTGTTAATATCTAAATTTTCTTTGGTATCAAAGTGTAAATTATTGTTTTCAATAAGTAAATATTCAACATGTTTCATAAATTGTTTTTTAATTTTTTTTTTTTTCTTTTTTTTTTTTACTATTTGAAATATATAATTTATATACTTCCTCAATCATTTATCTTATTAATAATCTTTTCTTTTGTTTGAATATATAATTTTTTCTTATATTTACATCTTTTATTAAATATATATTTATTATTTTGATAATTTTTCTATTTATGAAGAGACAAGTTCTATATTTTTTTTACTGTTAATTGAAAATATACATGTGTAATTTTTTTGTTGATAATTTTGTACATGTATTTTTTTTTTTTTTTTTTTTATTAATATTTTTACATATATTTATATATATATATTTTCTTTTTCTTTAATTTATAATAAATTTATATATATATATATATATACTTTTTTTTTTTTTTTCATTAAAATATTTTTTTTTTTTATTAAATTTGTTTCTATAATAATTTATACTTATTTAGATATACCCAATTTCATACAGTGTATTATAACCTCTTAAATCACTTAAATTTTAATAAAAAAAAAAAAAAAAAAAAAAAAAAAAATTATTATATGAATAATATTTTTATATATAATTTTATTGAAAAAAAATATAAAAGGTTATTATAATTTTTTTCATGTATGTTATGAAATTTCTTGAAAGTAGAATATGAAAGTTTAAAAAATAAAAATATCAAATTAAAAAAAATTTTTTTTTTTTTTTTTATTTACAATATTGAATTATTAAAATAAAATTTTAAAAATAAAAAATTTTATATAACATACATTAAATAAATTATATTTTAAAATGGGAAGAGTTATTAGAGGTAATTTATAAATAACATATTTTATGTATTTTATTGTTTAATTTCTTTTTATAAGCTAATATATATAAGTATCTTTTCCATATTTATTTATTATTTTGAAATTAAATAATAATTTTATTATTATATAAATAAATATTGATTATATAAAAAAATTTTATTTTTTTTATTATGCTTTTAATTTTATATTTTTCATATATTATTTTTGTATGACAGTTTTTTTGATAATTTATATATTTTTTTTTTTTTTTTTTTTTTTTTCATTTAGGACAAAGAAAAGGTAGAGGTTCTATATTTAAATCTCATAATCATCATAGAAAGGGAGCAGCAAAATTACGTCATTTAGATTATTGTGAAAAAAAAGGTTATATAAAAGGATTAGTAAAAGATATAATACATGATCCTGGTAGAGGAGCCCCTTTAGCTAAAGTAATTTTTAAAAGAACAGATAAATATGGAAAAAAAGAAGAATTAATGGTAGCAACTGAAGGAATGTTTACAGGTCAATATATCTCATGTGGAACTAAAGCACCATTATCTGTTGGTAATATTTTACCAGTTGGAAAAATGCCAGAAGGAACATTAATATGTAATTTAGAACATAGAACAGGTAATAGAGGTACTTTAGTAAAAGCATCTGGATGTTATGCTACCGTTGTAGGACAATCAGAAGATGGAAAAAAAACAAAAGTTCGTTTACCTTCTGGTGCTAAAAAAACTATAGACTCAAAAGCCAGAGCTATGGTAGGTGTTGTAGGAGCAGGAGGTCGTATTGATAAACCTATTTTAAAAGCTGGTGTTGCTTATCATAAATATAAAGTAAAGAGAAATTGCTGGCCAAAAGTTAGAGGTGTTGCAATGAATCCAGTTGAACATCCTCATGGTGGTGGTAACCATCAACATATTGGTCATCCTTCAACTGTTTCAAGAAGTGCACCTGCAGGACAAAAGGTTGGTTTAATTGCAGCCAGAAGAACTGGTTTATTAAGAGGAGCTAAAAAAAGTAAATTAGTTGGAAAATCAGATGAATAAGCAAAATAAAATTTATTTATATTTTTTAATTCATATATAATCAGCAAAGGAATTTAAAAAGAAAAAAAAAAAAAAAAAAAAAAAAAAAAAAAAAAAGGCGAAAATTGAATATATGTATTTAAAACATTTTTAATATTAAAGAATCAGTCAAATAAAAATACAATTTTATAAACACTTAAATGATAGATATTACATAAAAAAAGATAATTTTATAAATTTTAATAAGATATTAATTAATAAACATATTTATATATATATTTAAAAAGTTTAAAAATCTCAGTAATATGTAAATCGCGCATACAAAGCATTAATCTTTTTTTCTTTTTACATTTTTGTTTTTTTTTTAAATATTTGAAAAATAATCCTGTATAATTTCTATATAATTTTTTTTTTTTTTTTTTTTTTTTTTTTTTTAATGTTGAATTATTTATATAAGAAAATTGCATATTATAACATATGTATTTATTAATTAAATTTTTAAAAAATATTATTTAATGATGTAAAGTTTTTACAAATAAAAATTTTAATTTTTCTTTTGATTCATTAAATTCTATGAAACAATAATGTACATTCTTTTTTATATTATAAAAAAAGCTACTGATTTCATAAAATAAAAGAATTTGACAATCAGGTATAGGAGATGTATTCTTCTTTTAGCTTTTTATGTAACAAATGTAAAGGTGTTTTTACGAATACATATATATTTCTTGATTTTTTCTTTAGTTAATTATTTTGTAAATATTTGAGAATATATCATTTTACTTTCATCAAAAATAAAAAAAAAAAAGAAATAAAGCATTGTAAGAAAGTAGATGCACAAAAGTTTTCTTTTTTAATAAATTAGGAAAAAGTTTTTATATAAATTAATTAATAGATGTACTTTTAAATATTTTTTTTTTTTTTCTATTTAGCTTTATCATAAATTAATATTTTATTCTAATATTCATAATTAGAAAAACTATTTCATGGTTATTTTTTTTTTTTTTTTATAAAACACAATATTAAAAAAAAATATTAAAAAGTGTAAATCTTAAATTTTTATCTTCTTTTACCAATTAAAATTTAAATATACATTAAGATATATTATTTTTTATATGTATCTTTTCTTACAACATAAACGAGATAAAAGAATATTTATTTTTTTTTTTTAAAAATTTATGTATACTTTATTTTTAATAAGTTTCACTATACAAAAAATTAATAATGTGAAAATATTTATTAATTGTCTATATGAATAAATTAGCACAATTTTTATTATAAATATGCTATTTTTTTTTTAAATATTACTGATTAAATATTTTTTTCTGATATCATGTATTTATTTCACTATTTAAAATTTTTCTTAACAAAATTTTATTTATTATATTTGAAATTATTAAAAAAAAATAGTATAAAAAGATTATAATTTTTTCATGAAAAAGTTTCGTAAAAAATTGCTGAAAGTTTTTACAAAAGTTAAAAGTATATTGTGCGTATAATATTATCTTTAGAAAAAATATTCTCCACTCTTTATGAAAATAAAAAAAGGATATATAAAAATGATCTCGCAAAAAAAATTTAATTTTACCAAATTATTTTAATATTTAGTAGATATATCTTTTTCTATGTTATATTATAAAAAAAATTATTATTTTAGAAAGTAAAAAAAAAAAAATAAATATAATAAGAAAATTCTTAATATTATTTTTTTAGAGAAAAATTTATTTATTTTCAATACTTACAATATTAATGGACTTATCATACACTCATTTTTTTTAATTATTTTTGAAATTGCATTTATTAATTTTTTATTTCTTTTATCTTTAATAGGACACATGTATAAATCTTTATTTCAAAAGAAGAAAGTTCTGTCTTATTTAAATTTTTTTTTTTTTTTTGTTTTTTCAATTATTGTGTATTTTAACATTTTATTATGCTTTCTGATAAAAAGTTAGAATTTTTTTAACTTATATTATAATTTTAAATGAAAAGAAGCGTAATTATGTAGATATATTCACTTTTTTATTTTAAACTAATTAGCTTTTATAAAGTATCACACTTGTATTTTTAAGCTATTTAAATAAAAATTTTATTTTATTTTTTTTTTTCATAATATTTGATACACATCTGAGTTCGCAGAAAAATAAAAAAATCGAAATAAAAAAAAAAAAAAAAAAAAATATTCTAATATTATGCATATGCATCTATTTTTATTTTAACTATATGCTTAACACCATTGCAAAAAAGGATTTATTTCCTTTTTCGTCTTTCATATCATTGCTTGATATTTAGTTTTTTAGAGTTTTAGTAACACTTTTATAAACTATAATAACTTAATTTTATTTTTTTTTTTTAATACAATTTATTTTTTTTTAATGAGAGTATCTTAAAACATTGCTGACGCATGTGCAACTTTTATGTAACTTTTTATTTTTTTTTTTTTTTTTAACTCATGCACACGAAAGCAAAAGCACCTTACGTATACTAAGTTTTTACACATTTAAACTTTTTTTAAATAAAATGAATATTATGAATTAATATATATTAGAAATATAAAAAATATTTATATTTTTTAATATAAAGATATTCTAGTATGCATTCTTTTGTGTTCAAATTTTATCATAAAAGAATAAATAAAATGAAAAGAATTGGTAATACTAATTTCTTTATTTTTTTTTTTTTTTTCGTATGTAATTTATTTTCTAATTTTTGCACTAAATTATGTATTTATATATACATAATATGCATTAATAGTAATTTTTCTTATGTTTGATAAACTATATAATTTATTAACAAAAAAAAAAAAAGAAAACAAGACATTAAAAGAATAAGAATAAAAATAAGAAAAAGAAAAATAAAAAGAAAAAATAAAAAGGAAAAATAAAATGAGAAAACAAAAAAGAAAAATAAAAAAAGTAAAAAAAAAAGAAAAAAATTTAAGACACTAATATATCAAGAATTTTTTTTTTTTACAAAATTCATCATATATTATTTCTTTTGTATTTTTAAAAAAAAATATTTTTTTTTTTTAGTGCAAAACCATGAATAAAAAAAAATTTGTTTAATTAATGTTAGATGTTATACGTATTATATATCTCATAATACTTCAAATTAAAAAAAAAAATGTATACATAAGTAAACAAGCATAATTTTTTATTAGAAAAAAAAATGTAAAAAATAAACATACAATTTTATTAATAAAAAAAAAAAAAAAAAAAAAAAAAAAAAAGACTAAAATGTGTGACATCTTTTATATATATATTATTTATACATACATAATAATAATATATATACATAATTATATATACATATATATATATATATGTATATGCATATAGTATATATATTTTTTTTTTCAATAAATCCATGTGGTTATTAGGAAAAAATAAAATTAAATTTTTCAATTTTATTTTTCTTTGTTTTAATATCATTTATTTTGTATATTACACACATTAATGATTCATTTTTTTTTTTTTTTTTAAATTCTTTTTCTTATTGCTCCCTTTTTTTTTTTTTTTTTTTTTT